AGTTGGGAGGCTGAGGCACGAGACTCACTAGAACCCGGGAAGTGGAAGTTGGAGTGAGCCAAGATCATGCCATTGCACCCCAGCCTGGGCAACAGACCGAGACTCTGTTTCAAAATAAAATAAAATGTTTATTAATATCAAGCAGGACAGAGATTAATTGCATGAACTAAACTAATAGGTGACTGGAGTGATCTTTTTAACGTTTTGCTTAAAATATTGCTAATACTTTGATTTTCAAAGTCTAAGAAACTTTTCTTTTGAGCTCTTGACAGCTTTTGACAATTTAGTATACTTCCATGAACAAATTTTGGAGCATACTTTTTTCTCTCTACCTGATTTTCTCCAGAATTCGGAAACTATCTATGAGTATTCTTAAGTTATGGCAATGTAGTTATTTGCATAAATGCAATAAGTATCTGTTTTCTTTTGTAACAGGACACAATTGGAGAAACTGGTTATTTTACCAAGGCTTTGACTGGAATGGTGTGCTTTCCTTTAAGGAATCGAACTTGACTTATGAAGCCAACAAAGCCCTTGGAAAACTGGCCTCATATTTTGTGTGCACAGTCCCTATACAGGGCTTCTGATCTGTGGTAAGTAAAGAATGTCACTTTCTAGCAGGCCGGGAGCCCCAGGTTATTTAGGAAACTCAAGAGGAGTTTTGATGGGTTTGTACCATTAAACACCTATGGGTTGGTGAATTTTTCTCCTCTCACCAACTCATAGGTATTTAATGGTACAAATCCATTGCTGGGCTTGGCTTTAAAAAGATTTTATCTCAGATTCCTTCTGTGCAACAAAGTTCCATCAAAGTCAATTTAAAAGGTCTATGTGGGCCGGGCACGGTGGCTCAGCCTGTAATCCCAGCATTTTGGGAGGCCAAGGTGGGTGAATCACAAGGTCAGGAGATTGAGACCATCCTGGCCGACATGGTGAAACCTGTCTCTACTAAAATACAGAAATTAGCTAGGTGTGGTAGCACATGCCTGTAATCCCAACTACTTGGGAGGCTGAGACAAGAGCCTACTGAACCCAGTAGGCGTAGGTTGCAGTGAACGGAGATTGTGCTACAGAGTAAGACTATGGGTGACAGAGTAAGACTCTCTCTCAAAATAAAAAAAGGATGAGGGGCGGTGTGTTCTTTTTTTTTGAGATAGAATCTCATTCTGTCAATGGCGTGGTCTTGGCTTACTGCAAGCTGTGCCTCCCAGGTTCAAGCAATTCTCCTGCCTCAGCTTCCTAAATCACTGGGCTACAGAAGCATGCCACCACCGCAGCTAATTTTTGATAGATACGGGGTTTCACTATATTGGCCAGGCTGGTCTTGAACTCCTGACCTCAGAAGAGCCACCTCCCCCTCGGCCTCCCAAGGCGTGAGCCACCATGCCTGGCCTTTGCACCACCACCCACACCTGTGCATGCGCCACCATGCCTGGCCTTTGCACCACCACCCACACCTGTGCATGCGCCACCATGCCTGGCTAGTTTTGTATTTTTTTTTTAGTAGAGATTGGGTTTCACCGTGTTGATCAGACTGGTCTTGAACACCTGACCTTAAGTGATCCACCTGCCTTGGCCTCCCAAAGTGCTGGGATTACAGGAGTGAGCCACTGCATCTGGCCACCCCTCCTCCTTTTTATCACTATAGGGTCTGGATTGACAGAGCAGGAGCATTGCCATCTTGGATAAGCACTGCCATTTTAAGTTTCGCCTTGATCAAAAACTGCCTAAATCCAAAGGGCATCAGCCTAATGGCTAAGGTCAGCATGACCATAAACCAGAAACAACGTCTCTGACCAGAAACATATCGAACCCCTTCCCAACCAGAGACATGCCAGCCCCAAGATAACCTCCCGTTCGACCAGACATTCCAGCCCTGCCATAAACTTCTCCCCAACACAGAAACACTCTAAGCTCTCTCACCAATAAATACTCTTAGTTCGTAAGAGAGAGCACTCCTGACGGAAATCAGCCAGAAGCCCCTCACAGGTTCATTCTCCAAAATAAACCTGTCTTTGACTATTGAGTCACTTTTCATGTTTCTTTCCTCTTTCTTTAACTTTTACAGTGACTTTGAATGGAATGGGAGGCAGATTGGCCCTAAGAAGTTCCCAGCTTGACTTTTCCTTTTAGCTTAGTGACTGGGGCCCCCAAGATTTATTTTCCTTTCTCACTACCCAGGACTCCTTGGGGAGAGGTGCTCATTGACTAGGCTGCCTAGCCTTTGGCCCATGCCAGTGAAGCCCCTGACCCCATCTTTCTAGCAGGCCACACAACACCTTCAGGGAGGTGCCACTGGCATTGTATCATGAGATAGAATAAAACAATAACTACAATAGCCAGGCATTGTGCACCTGTAGTCCCAAATTACTTGGGAGACTGAAGCGGAAGGATTACTTAAGCCCAGGAGTTGGAACCTGCAATGAGATTCCAGCCTGGGTGACAGACTGATTGTGCCACAGCCCTCCAGCCTAGGTGACAGGGTGAGATCCCATCTAAAAAACTTTTTAAAATAAATAAATATTAGAACATGTGGCAAAATAAAATTAAAACAACAACTACAATAGCAACAGCTACTATTAACTGAACACTTATTCCACCTCATTTAATCACAACTCTATCAAGTAGACACTATTATTCCCATTTGTACTGAGCAAACTAAACTCAGAGCAGTTAAGCAGCTTGCCCATACAGACAGTGAGTGTTGCAGGTGAAATTCAAACCCAGGTCCATTTGGCTTTTGGAACCCATGGCCTCCCATTCACTGGTCTGCAGAGTAGCACCAAGTACCTTTTACCACCCTGACCAGCTCCTGGGTACTGCCCTCCTGCCTGCAGGCCTGAACACCCAGCCAGGCCCTTGTTCCCCATGACATCCTTCTCCCTCTTGCCAGTGAAACTCAACAGATCATGCTGCCTGACAAAGGAATCTCTTGTGATGCCTTGGGCTGTGGCATTCATCCTAAATGCCTCCCTTATGGCATGCCCCTTGCTCCTCTAAGAGTTTGGCTCACATTCTTACTGAGTTTTGCTTATGCCTTTTGCCCTTCTTGGATGCTCTTCCCTAACCCTTCAAGGGCCACTCAGTTGAAGTTCCAGAAGACTCCAAATTTCCTCAATCCACTCATCTCACACAATTTTGGGTTCCAGAGCCAGAAATACCCCCTGCCAAAATCTCCTCTGACTCAATGCCAAGTCAGGAAGCTGCAAAGAGCAAGGAGAACCTGACTGAGTTCCAGTCCTTAGAGAATGGGGAAGGGGAAGAAGGACAGCTGGGCAGCTGTTCCTTTCAGATCCCAACCCATCAGGTTTTATTCCTCCAAATCTTGCTTGGGACAAGGGGTTAAATGATGTTGACAGAAGTGGGATTGAAGAAAGAGACAGGAGTGGCTTTGGGAGGCTGAGGTGAGAGGATTGCTTGAGCCCAGGAGTTTGAGACCAGCTTGGGGCAATATAGTGAGGTCCCATCTCTACAAAACAAAAATTATTATTATTTCATATTATTTTATTATTATTAATTTTTTTTGAGATGGAGTTTCGCTCTTGTTACCCAGGCTGGAGTGCAATGGTGCGATCTCGGCTCACCGAAACCTCTGCCTCCTGGGTTCAGGCAATTCTCCTGCCTCAGCCTCCCGAGTAGCTGGGATTACAGGTGTGCGCCACCATGCCCAGCTAATTTTTTGTATTTTTAGTAGAGACGGGGTTTCACCATGTTGACCAGGATGGTCTTGATCTCTTGACCTCATGATCCACCCACCTCGGCCTCCCAAAGTGCTGGGATTACAGGCTTGAGCCACCGCGCTCGGCCCATATTATTTTATTTTTTAAGACCGAGTCTCACTCCGTCGCCCAGGCGGGAGTGCAAAGGCATGGTCTCAGCTCACTGCAACCTCCACATCCCAGGTGTTAAAATGTGCGGGCTAAATGAAGAGAACCCCTCAAACAGGCTTTGTGTGGGCAACAAGACTCTTTATTCACCTGGGAGCAAGTGGGTTGAGGCCAAAAAGGGCATCAACGAAGAGTGGTGGGATAGGAGTTGGTTTCATTATTATTATTATTTTTTGAGACAGAGTCTCTCCCAGGCTGGAGTGCAATGGCACAATCTCGGCTCACTGCAACCTCCACCTCCCAGGTTCAAGTGATTCTCCTGCCTTAGCTTCCCGAGTAGCTGGGATTATAGGCACCTGCCACCATGCCCAGCTAATTTTTCGTATTTTTTTTTTTTTTTTTTTTTTTTTTTGGAGACAGAGTCTCGCTCCGTCGCCAGGCTGGAGAATTTTTCGTATTTTTAATAGAGACAGGTTTTCACTATGTTGGTCAGGCTGGTCCCGAACTCCTGACCTCAGGCCATCCTCCTGCCTCGGCCTCCCAAAGTGCTGGAATTACAGGCGAGAGCCATTGTGCCCAGCCAGGAGTTGGTTTTATAGGTTGTGGGGTGTTAGCGGAAAGTTACAAAAGTTAAGTTTAGGATAGTTCTTTGCAAGCTGGGAGGGAGTAGTAGGTTTGCAAGCTGGGAGGGGGTCCTCAGGTGTGGAGTCATGAGGTTACAAAGTCCAATGGCCTTATCAATTGGGGCAGGAATAAGGAACAACAGAGAATATTTTAAAGTTAAGTAGTCTCCGCAGGGGTTAATCGTTCTTCCTTCCAGCTACTTCAGGTTTTCTAATTCCGGAAAGCTCCAGAGGTGTACATGTGGTTCATGGGGGTCGCCATGCTTTCCACGGTGTGGTCAGACCTTACACCGGGTTCAAGCGATTCTTCTGCCTCAGCCTCCCTAGTAGCTGGAATTACCGGTGCCTGTCACCAAGCCCGGCAAATTTTTGTATTTTTATCAGAGACAGAGTTTCACCATGCTGGCCTGGCTGGTCTCGAACTTCTGACCCTGTGATCTGCCCACCTCGGCCTCCCGAAGTTTACACCTCCCTAGGATTACAGGTGTCAGCCACCGCGAAAGGCCAAAAAATTATTTTTCATTAGCTGGAGTGTGATGGCGTGGGCATGTGGTCCCAGCTATTTGTGTGCTGAGGCAGGAAAATTGCCTGAACCCAGGAGACCGAGGCTGCAGTGAGTGTGATTGTGCCACTGGGTGACAGAGTGAGACCCTGTCCCAAAACATGTGGAGAGAGAATTCCAAATCCTCTCTGAACCCGGGCTGAGTCCCTTCGCTGTGAGGTTGGGGAGATGAGTGGGAGCCCAGCGTCTGGCGCCGAGTGATGGCAGCCATTGTGAGTTCCTGGGCTGGGGAAAGGAGGCTCAGTGCCCAAGGACGTGACAGGATCTGAGGCCCTGGGAAGGAGCAGCGCGGCGACCCCGCAGTATCCTAGGCGACAGGGTGTGGGCGAGAGGGTGGGGAGTCAAAGGCGGAGTCTCGGGCTCCGGTCTCTTTCTCCGGCTCGGCTGGTCCACCAGCTCCGCGTGGTTCTCACAACCCGCAGCTCAGCTCAGTGAGACCCGGTGGTCCCGAGGCTGCTCCTGGCTGGGGTGGCGCTGCAGGGAGAACCGCGAGCTCTCAGGGGTCGGCTGGTGACTTCTTTCCGGAAGAAAGTGAGGAACGTGCTCTGCGGGAAAAACTGGACTCCGCAAAATTCCAAGGATCAGCCCAGGACTGAGAGCCCCGAAGTCCCCAGCCACAAGTGAGCGGTCCCAAAAGGACAAATCCAGGTCGCCATCCGGAGCGCCATGGCCGCGCCCGCCCTTCGTTTGTGCCATATCACCTTCCACGTGCCCGCGGGGCAGCCCCTCGCCCGAGACCTGCAGCGTCTCTTCAGCTTCCAGCCCCTGGCTTTGCGGGAGGCCGACGGCTGGCGTCAGCAGGCTCTGCGCAGCGGCGACGCGGTCTTTTTGGTGAACGAGGGTGCGGGGCCAGGAGAGCCACTGTACGGCCTGGACCCGCGTCATGCTGTGCCCAGCGCCACGAACCTGTGCTTCGACGTGGCGGACGCCAGCGCCGCAGCCCGGGAGCTGGCAGCGCTGGGCTGCAGCGTGCCCGTTCCTCCGGTTCGCGTGCGGGACGCGCAGGGTGCCGCCACCTACGCAGTGGTCAACTCACCCGCCGGCAACCTCAGTCTGACCTTGTTGGAGCGCGCCGGCTACCGCGGACCCTTCCTGCCCGGCTTCAGGCCCGTTCTCTCTGCGTCTGGCCCCGGGTGGGTCAGCCACGTGGACCACCTGACCTTGGCCTGCACCCCCGGCAGCTCTCCCACACTTCTGCGCTGGTTCCATGACTGCCTGGGCTTTTGCCACTTGCCACTGAGCCCAGGTGAGGATCCCGAGTTGGGCCTCGAAATAGCAGCAGGGTTTGGGCTCGGGGGACTGAGGCTCACAGCCCTGCAGGCCCAGGCGGGCAGCGTTGTCCCTACTCTCGTGCTGGCTGAGCCCCTGCCAAGGGCCACGGCAGGACAGGACCAGGTGGAGCAGTTCCTGGCTCGGCACAAGGGGCCAGGGCTTCAGCACGTGGGGTTGTATACGCCTAACATCTTGGAGGCCACTGAAGGGGTGGCAACTGCTGGAGGCCAGTTCCTGACTCCCCCTGGCACATACTACCAGCAGCCAGGAAAGGAAAGGCAGATCCGAGCTGCAGGGCACCAGCCTCATCTACTTGCCCGGCAGGGGATCCTGCTAGATGGTGATAAAGGCAAGTTTCTGCTTCAGGTCTTCACCAAGTCCCTTTTTACTGAGGACACTTTCTTTCTGGAGCTGATTCAGAGGCAGGGAGCCACTGGCTTTGGTCAGGGCAACATCAGAGCCCTGTGGCAGTCTGTACAGGAGCAAGCTGCCTGGAGCCAGGAAGCCTAAGGAGGCCCAAAGCTGGCTGCAGCCAGCTGTCCTGCGCTCTGGGGAAGTCAACACAGAACTTAACATCCACAGGAGGCCCAACTAGTGAAAAGCTCTGCCTCCCGAGGACACGTATGACTTCCATCTCATCAGTACCTGCCAGAAGCTGTGTCTCTCACTGGGCTCCAAAGAGGTGGGACTTTTAAAAACTAAAACATTTTTATATACAGTCTATAATAAATATGCAAGATACAAAGAACAATAAAATAATTACACAACTAGAAAACAGAACAAAGTATTGGTTAATACTTTGGAATTCTCCTTGTGTCCCATTGATTCTATTTCCTCCCACCCACTCCTCAAATCCTGTCATTATTAGCCATTTGCTTTTCTGTATTGTTTCACTCTGTACATAACATAGCCCAAAATAAATGATTTCGTACTTGAGGTAGGAATTTAAAACAGAACAAACCTGTGCTTCCTCTCCCCCTAGGGAGCAACCACGGCAGATGGAGAAGGTCTGGGTGAGAGTTGAGCCCAGCTACCTACTCCAGGGTGATGCCACCGCTCCAATCAGAGCTGACCTGAGACCTAGACAGAGGGTGTTGGGTGTCAGCCAGTGGCAGGTGCTCCCTGCAGCTGCCTTGCCTTTCTCCTGGGGGATGGAGGACAGATCAGTCTGGACAGAACTCAGACCCATCCCATCTGCCCAGGGCTGGCTGGGAGTTCAGCCAGAGGAATTCAGGACCAAGCACAACGTCATGGGTCCCTCCCTCAGATGTGAGGAGTGAGGGGACTAGGGAGAGGGTGGAAGGCTCCAAAATAGCTACAAAAGGGCAGGCACGGTGGCTCATGCCTGTAATACAAACACTTTAGGAGGTTGAAGTGGGAGAATCACTTGAGTTCAAAACTGGCCTGGGAAACATATCAAGACCCACATCTCAAAAATAAAACACAAAATAACTACAAAAATAAGCACTTTATTAACAACAGGATTCTCAGGGAATGGGGGCTTTCAGAGGTGTCACTGGGCTGCACTGTTGAGGCTGGGTGCATCAGTGGAGATGTGAGGCCGAAAGAAATCATCCAGGACTTGCTGGCCCATGCTGGGCTTTTTCCGACTGGATGGAGAGGACACCTGGGACCTTTTGGAACCCTGTGAAAAAAATAGAAGGAGGGAGGCCTTGTAGTAGTTGGGGAGCAAACAATCCTCTCTTTGCCCTCCTTCCCTTTCCCTGATTCTACAGATAGCTCAGGCTTAGCCTGGAATGCTGTAGAGCTTTCATCCTCCCTCAATTATCTGTCCCAGCAATCAGCTCTCCAAAAGGTTGCCTGAGGGAATCGAATTGTCCTAAAAATGCAAATCTCAGTCCTCTCTCCTCCATCTAAAATGGGTCAGCGGCCTAGGGCTCACACCCTGACTAACCCAGCAGGCCCTGCTGACCTTTCCAGCTAAAGCAACTGCTCACAGCTTCTGAAGCACTACTGCAGCTTGCACTGGGCCCCACCTTTGCTCACACACTACTCTTGGGACCCGAAAGAACATTGCTACGGCTGATTCCCCTCCCAAACCCGAAGAAATGATTTATTTCTAGGACCCAGATTACCAGCTGCTTCCTCCAAACAGCCTTTCCTGATCCTTGCTTCTCAGATAGAACTGATGGCTCCCATGGATGGGTGAGGTGGCTCACGCCTGTAATCCCAGCACTTTGGGAGGCAGAGGCGAGCGGGTCACTTGAGGTCAGGAGTTCGAGACCAGTCTAGCTAACTAACATGGTGAAACCCTGTCTCTACTAAAAATACAAAAATTAGCCAGGCGTGGTGGCAGGCACCTGTAATCCCAGCTACTCAGGAGACTGAATTAAGAGAATCACTCGAATCCAGGAGGCAGAGGTTGCAGTGAGCCAAGATCAGGCCACTGCACTCCAGCTTGGGCGACAGAGTGAGACTCCATCTCAAAAAAAAAGGACTGATCGCTCCCCAGTTCATATCCCACAAAACCCAGCATGCCACACCTGTGACACTGGATTGTCCTTATCAATTTGTTCCTTTCCCTCTACCCTGCACCCCCTACTGCAAGGTCTCCAGGTCAAGACCTAGTCCTCTCTCCAGTGAAGCCTGGAGTGGAAAATGTTCATCCAAACATACATCAATTAACCGACTAAAAACCCATGGACTCAGGCCTGGGGAAACATGGCTGAGAGGGGGCTAAGAGACTTACCCTGCAGGTCCCTGGCTGTTGGCCCTCATACACACGGAAAACCTAGTCAAGAAGACAGGGAAGACAGAGCTGGCACTTTTCCCAAAAGAGCCAAACTGGTGTTCTGCCCTTAACTTCATGTCCCAGTACTTTTTTTTGGCCAGGCATGGTGGCTCATGCCTGTAATCTCAGATCACTTGAGGCCAGGAGTTCAAGACCAGCCTGGTAAACGTGGTAAAACCCCATTTCCAAAACTATAAAAAAATCAGGGCTGGGCGTGGTGGCTCATGTCTGTAATTCCAGCACTTTGGGAGGCTGAGGCAGGTGGATCACTTGAGGTCAAGAGTTCAAGACCAGCCTGGCCAACATGGTGAAACCTCATCTCTACCATAAATGAAAAAAAAAAAAAAAAAAAAGCCAGGTGTGGTGGTGTAGAGAGATCCCATAAGTGCCAAGGCAGAAGCAAAAGGCCTCAGCCTATTTCCATATAAATAATGAAGAAGAAAGTAACTAGAAATATAACTGTAGTAGTTACTAGTTATTCATATGTGATCTTAGTTATTCATAGGTGATCTTAATTCTTTTACTAATGCCTCTCAGGTCGGAAGTGTGAACCTGGGGTGACATTGTGAAATGAATGACACTAAGGCACGATGCTTTGCAGCTGTGCAGCAGTGCCAGCACTGGGAAAGTGCCCGCTGTTTAGCCAGCTAGGGAAGGAGACGTCCAAAGTGGCCGAGACATCTCCTTCCTGGGGAAGTTAGGAGAAAATTCCACTTCTCCAAGCTCTTGTGGCGAGGCCTGATGGCTGTCAGGTAAACTCGCAGACATCTGGGGGCTTAACTGTCTCTATGTGATGTTGTGCTTCAGTGGTCACGTTCCATGTCTACTCGCATGTTCCACTTCTGCACCTGGTTCCTTTTTTCTTAGAAAAGATAATCAGTAATAGTAATAGTAATATAAATCTTAATGTTTTAGTTCTTTCTTGGTAAGTATGGAAAAGGTGCTGATGCATTATGCTCCTTACCTCACTTCAGGTGCCAGAAATTCCTGACCCCTACCTGAATGACACATAATGTACTTGACCCTATCACTGCCACATCCTATCTACCCTGCCCCTCAGTCTCCAACCACCAAGACCATGCCCTACCTACCCTGCCCTCAGATTTGCAACTCAATAAAAGTGAGAGTGTCCTGGCATTCGGGGCCACTGCTGGTCTCCACGATTTGAGTAGCAGTGGATCCCTGGGCCCAAACTCTCTTTTCTCTATCTCTGTGTCTGTGTCTTTTATTTCTAGAATTTCTCATCTCTGCACCACCCAGGAGAGGCTCACAGAACCCTGTGGGACTGGACCCTACATCTGGCGCCCAACGTGGCAGTTGACCCTAGAGTGGTGCACGCTTTGAGGCAGGAGAATCATTTGAACTTGGGAATCAGGGTTTGTAGCAACCTGAGATCACACCACTGTACTCCAGACTTGGTGACAGAGAGAGACTCCGTCTCCCCCAGCAAAGAATAAAAATAAAAGTTAAAAAACAAAAAATCAGCCAGGCATGATGGCACATACCTGTAATCCCAGCTACTTGGGAGGCTGAGGCAAGAGAATCACTTGAACCTGGGAGGCAAGGTTGCAGTGAGCCAATATTGTGCCATCGCACTCCAACCTGGGCAACACAGTGAGACTCTGTCTCAAAAAAAGAAAATAAAAAGCGTGTTTTTTTTTTTTTTGGCCGGGTGCAGTGCTTCACGCCTGTAATCCCAGCACTTTGGGAGGATGAGGTGGGTGGATCACTTGAGGCCAGGAGTTTGAGACCAGCCTGGCCAACATGGTAAAACCCCCATCTCTACAAAAAGTACAAAACAGCTGGGTATGGTTATGGTGGTGCACACCTGTAATCCCAGCTACTCAGGAGGTTGAAGCACAAAAATCACTTGAACCTAGTAGGCAAAGGTTGCAGTAAGCCAAGATCGCACCACTATACTCCAGCCTGGGCAACAGAGTGAGTCTCCATCTCAAACAATAAAATCAAACATGCTTTTTCCCCTGTTTACACAGTAATATGTTCATATAGAACATGTAGGAAACACAAAGAAATACAACAAAGACAACAAAGGTCATGCCTTTTTCACGGCAGTGGAGACAGCTGCAGTGTGAAATTCCTCCCGGGTCAGCCAGCGAGCGCCTGGTGGTGCAGTGGTCACTGGGGTCTGCCCTTCCAGGGCAAGACCATATACTTGATATGTCAGCTTGATGTGAGAGAAGACATGGACAACCTGGAGGAAGGGCCAAGGGGTTCAAATAGGCCTGTGGATATAGCCTCAAAAGCCAACATCGCTGGCCCTCCCGCTGCTCACTTACCTCCCCGAGGTGCCGGAGGTGTGTGTCTGGGAGGGGCCCAGCCCAACGCTGGAGTTCCTGCAGCAGGGCCTTGCGCTGAAGCGGCTCTGAGGGCTCCCAGGTCACAGACGGGAACTCCCACAGTCCTGCCAGCAGACCTGAGAGGGAGGGCAGGCAGGCAGGGGTCAGCTGCCAATTCCTTCCATTCTCCCTTGTTACTCATGCCACTGCCCTCCATGCACAGTATCCAGCTACCTGAGTTGGGCCTTTGCACCAGCAGAATTCGGGCACCCCCAAGGGCCCTGGGCTGTTCCAGAACACAGGTGGCAGAGCTCTCCTCCCTGGAGGGCTTACGGCTGGCCTTTCTGGGGAAGTTGACCACTCCCAGGGTCTGGTCCCAGGGCTCCGAGGGTGGCAGGCACAGCTGGCACTGTCCAGTGCTGGGAGCTGGGAATGGAGATCCCTGAGCCCTACTCAGGCCAAGACAGCTCAGGTGCCAAGCCTAGAGAGCAGGCTTTGGCCGGGTTCTGCAGACTCTTACTAAGGTTAGAGGAGGAACTGGAATGAGGCTTCTGACAGGGCCAGGAAGGGCTGGGGAGAGGGCTAGGTTTGGTGCTCACCACACTCCTCTATGTCAGGACTGCCCAACAGGCTCTGTGAGGCTAAGGGCTGTTCCTGCTTCACCTGAGAGGCACAGGGTTGGGTGTCATGGGGCAGAGTCACTCCTTAGGACTCCTCACTGCCCCTTCCCA